TATATATATATATACAAACAGACAGACACACATATAAACAGAGGAAAGAGATTATGTCAGTACACTCGTCGTCCCATTGTGCTCCTTCGAACTCAAGCATAAGATACCACCTTTGAAGTTCCCCTTTGGTGAAGAGTAATCTTACACAAACCCACATCCAACATAATGAAATTTAATAAAAGTACAAAAATGTCCTTTTTATAATAGAAAATGAACGAAGATTTATCACAATCATACTATTGCTAGTAGCTACAGTTCATCAACCTATTTTGTGCTGCGGTTATCGTTCTTTATCTAAGAGCGCACTACATGTATAGTGAATCACCCATATAAAACCCACATCACTGACACAGCTTTATACCGTTTATCGTTTTTTGAGATCGAGTTCTTGAACCACTTTAACACTTAGGCAACAGAGAGGCGATCTTGTACCAAATGCTTCTAGTTTTCTATTCAATAGTGTCTTTTCTCTTTTATAAAACGTGTTTCGTTACCAGATATAAATCCCTGTGCGCTTTTGAAACAATGATTCGTCATATACATTGGTCGACCATGAACTCATAATCCGTTGTTCCACAGATCACATCTCTGTACTACGGTAAACTGAAGAAAAAGGAAACTCTCGAGGAGGGAATCACAGAACTCCAGAAGCATTACCAGTTTTTCGAAGATGAGCTGGCGAGGCGAGAGGGACCTTTGTTCGGAGGTAACCAAAATTGACTTAAACGAAAACAGTGTCTTTGTAATTAAAATGTTATAATAATATCTCTGTAATGCTTAGATTATTGTATTGAGCTCACGCTTAGGTTTATTTAGCTGCCGCCAGAACCGTGGCTCTCTTGGACACCCACCGAAACCCTCTCTACGTTATTTCACTGCGTGTTAAATCTAGTGGTATCCCAGTCTTGACAGTTGCCTCTGAGAACTGCTTTGCTTTTCTGTTGTTTTCAAGGAACGTGAGATTCCTCAATACGGTGCTGTCACTTAGGCAATGCCACGGAAATTCAAAGGCTCTATTTTGTTCCCTCAGCAGCACATTAATTATAATGTTAGTTCTTTCGTAAATTTTCAACGACCCTCTGTTCCTTGTTCAGAGAAAGACCGTCCTCCAGCCACAAAAAAACGCAAAAGGAAAGTTCTGTTTTTGGAAAATCATAAACAGGTCTGTATTATAATATCTTGCTTCACTCTGCCCCACCCACAAAAACAAACCAATAGTTACATTAAAACAAGTAGGTTTGTAAACTATAATTGTGTTTCCCTGATCTCTCCAAACTCTAGGAAGCAACCCCGCTATGATCGACTTCTTCATCTGGCCTTTTTTTGAGCGACTCCCCGGTTTAGCCAAAAGAGATGAAAGAATTGCCGTCAACCAGACTGCCTTTCCCCGCCTCGCCAAGTGGTACAGTGCCATGTACGCCGTGCCAGCTGTGAAGGCCATCGCCTTTGATGCGGATACTCACGCAGCTTTCCTCAAGACTGTCGACGAAGGAACGCCTAATTTTGATCTTGGACTATAAAACCATTACATTTTGCTACCTCAGAATTGCAAAATTCTAGCTTACATAAATTTTTGGCCGTTTTAAATTCCTAAGACCATGGTGTCAGAAAGAAAGCTCTTATCTGCTGTATTAAAGTCGTAAGAATGTTCGAGGTCGTTATCAAGCTGTTCAAAGAACCGCATTCGAAAAAGCGTGATATGGTATTGTGAAACAAAAAATTTGACACAAATTTCTTTTTTTTAAAAACTATGTAGTGAGCAGATAAAACTTTGTAATTCTGAGGTAGCGATTTATTGTCTGAAATCTTGCACTTTTAACATTTTAATCAGCCAGTATGTGGGTTCATTAAGTAATAACTATAGTCTAGCCTTGTTTCTTTGGTACTTTTTGTTTAGTTTTAATACTTTTTTCCGTTGTAATTTTCTGGAACTTTATTTTGGAAAAAAGAGGATATGAGGAGAGATTGAATAATGAACAATATCTGCGGGAATTTTTTTTAAATGGAAAAACCAGAACATTTTTGACAACATAATCCGAGTTACGCTTACATTAGGTTGTGTTTTTAAAAAAATAGTTTTTATTTCTTTTCCTAGTAAATGTTGTTATTCTCGCAGATATGCCATCAATAACTCAAGACTTATATAACTATACAAGGGCAGATAGAGCTTTTATTGATATGATTAAAAGTAAATTAATCATGATTGCTTTCTTATTGAGTATACAAAAAATAATGAGCATTAATGAAAAACTGCGCGCCAAAGAATGTGTGAATAAAGTTGAGACAAATGATGAGATCATAATAATATGTTGAATCATTTGATATTCTTCTGTTTTTATCCATTTAAGATTGTGATCTTTTTACTCATAATAAAAAATCTCTGCACTGATGCTGTGAAGACGATTATAATCCTAAGACTGGTATTTGTTTCCTTCATTAATTATTACAAATCAGTCATTTACGTCCAAATGATTGGGTCAATATAAAATGCTTCTATAATAAGCTGTTGAAACAAACCCCACTATAATGTGTGCCTAAGTTACCCCCCCCCCTTCCCAAATACACGTCCCCACACTCGCAAAAACGCACAGTATACTTTCTTTCTTACACACCTACTACACACGCACGAGCACGCAAACGCACACACACTTGCGCGCGCACGCACACACACACACACACACACACACAGAC